AGACGAAAGTTCATGGCCTTTATGCACTCCATGATCATAGTTGCTCTGGCCATTCAGATCCATTTAATGGCCAGGAATGTGACAGGAAACTAGAAAGCTCTTTTGGTTGTATCCCAGAAAAGATAGAGTTGGGATTTTCCTAATCAAGACATTTTATATTAAGGCTTCTCAAATTTATTCCTTCAAAGATTGTCCAGTATTCAAGAAGAGAAAGGGCAGTCACAGAATTACACACAACATAATTTTTTTAAACTTATTTCTACCTCATTCCTAACCTGCCTTATAGTCAATATCAAATTCATATTATAATAGGGATTTTTCTTTTAGCAAAAACATGTACCATCAAATTATTATTATTAATTTATTAATTTGTAGTTTGCATTGTATTCATTTTTAGATAAGTTTTCATTTATAGCTGTGTAATGGTAACAGACATAAATTTATTCCTACTATTTTACATGTTCATGTAGAATTATTGTCATTCAAAATAACTTGGTTTACAAATTGAAGTCTATGATTTTTTTATTTTTTAAAGGTATATGTATATTATTTGCACCTTAGAAGCACTTCTCTGGAGGAATCCTATGAATGAGGCAAAAAATTTATCCTTGTGAAAAGCGGACATGGTCCAGGAAGAAAGGGATTAGCAAAAGTCGTCAGTGGTCACCTAGGGTGACTGTATTTGGATGGCAGCAATCTTGGCAGTGGTGAAGTGCTATATTTTTGCTTCTCACCTGCTCTCCTGCCAGGAAGTAGAAGATCTGATGGATCCTCTCCATAAGTTATTATCTATTTTTGGAAAGGCATCTTGTCAGAAAATCAGCATATGAAGCACCAGATTGACCATGCAGGCATATTTACATTATGAGGCAAGTTTCTATCCTTCTTGGTCTGAGAACATGTTATGAAAAACAGGATACTTCTTTGGGACTATGGAAGTGAGTTGTTGATGAAGTGGCACTTTCAGAAATGTCGAGAGTGCTAGTGGTTAACTGTGATATACATATACATATAATGAGCTATATCTGGTCTCTTGATTATCTATCCATCCCAATCTATCTATTGTCCATGCCACCTGGTTTTCCTGAACCAGTATTAATTTATGCTTATTTTTTCTGTATGTCATGTCCCAACATTTATATGATTTTAAAATGTAAAAGACTTTTTATATAAAACTAATTTACATATCCAATTTTTTTACAAAATTTTACAAACCCATTTTTCTGTCAATACATACACATTTAAAATAAATAACTTAATATTTTTTTAGCATCTCCTTTTAATTTTCATTAGTGTCTCAGTTTGGATTACATATGATTGTTGAGGTAATCTACGCATGAAGGATTGATGGTCTGAACAAAACAGGTAAGATCGAAAATGGGAGAGATAGGAATAGACATTTTGTTGGGAACAGCACTAGAATTTAATGACTGACTAGAAGAATAGAAGTGATCAAATGAGATTACCAAGTGCTCGTCTAGAATAATTGGAAAAAATGGTGACAGAATTCTGAAAGTTTGGAAACCTTGAAATATTGAAAAAGATAAAGAAAAATTATACAAAAACAATTTCTTTGGCTTTAATCCCCATAGTCCTTCTGGCATGACAATATTCTCAAATCAAATAATTTGCTCTCACTTGTGCACAAATTCATGCTTGTAAAACATTTTACAAAAATTCCCTTAAGAAAGAGTAAGCCTCAATCTTTGAGATCACCTAAGTAGCCTATTAATATTGGAATATGGAAATGAAAAGAGAAAATTTTAAAAATTAAACTTCAGTTGTGCTTAATAAGCATTCAACTATCTTGAGTCAAGAGGGCTCACTGAAGAAATATATTCTCAAGCTCATTTGCAATATTATGGCAGTTAAGATAAATAGCAATTAAAAAAGAATTGCCAAACCATTTTCTAGTAACATGGAACAGAACTTCTAAAATGCTTTCCTGGTATCATCATGAAGAGAAACATTGAAGTTATATTTACACATATTTCACTTAATAACAATAACACAATCTAGCTATGCTTTTGGAATATTCAAATACTGTATGTAAGGATTATTGTTTAATGGAAAGAATTTTAAATGAATGCCATTCTGTTTGTATTGGGGGTCATGTTATTATTCCTGTAAACTGAATCAAAACCTTCAAGCATTTCCATCATTTCAAAAAAAACCCAGTACACTGAGAGAACCTCACATAGTTACTAAAGTTTGGAACAAGGTTTTACATAAACATAGAACTGTAAGTTTTTAAAATTTTAATAGAACATTAATATAATTGCAAGCAGTGACAGATGTCAGTATTTTGGAGCTGGAATGTCAAAAGTGTCTTTGTAGACCTCAGCAAAGCCCTTTAATGGAGTGGGGAAGGAATAATCTAGGTGTAGAAAGGGTGGGGTTATAATTGCCTTCCTACAGTCTGCCACTTGGATAGGGTAGAGCAGGGATTATCTAGGTTTTAGCAGAGAGGGACAGCTGCATTCCCACCTTTGGCATCTTGGATTCGGCAGACAAGGGATCAGGCAGGTCTTAGGAAGAGTGGAGACAGAGCCATTACCTGTTAAGCCGCTCTTCAAACCAAACTTCTCATTGAAGTTATTGCAACATTATTTCACAATTTAAATTAGAAAGGTTACAAAACAAAATAAAAAGAAAATATATTATGCTTATAGAAAAGAGGAAAAGGGGTCAAAATGGCTAGAGAAATTTAGATTTTGAGGCAAACAGGTACTATAAAACATAAAATAGTGCTAGACAAATAAAGAAGGCAATATGCCCTGATTTTAAATGACGTTACTGTGAATCATCCCTTAAATGTCTATTATTTTAAATAAAGATTGTCTTAATAGTGTTTCTTTTTAAATTCATGTTGTGAATTTTTTACTGCTTCCTTAGTTAATTATTTACTCTTAAAACATTATTACACTTTTTAGTGTTCATCTACATAAAAATGAAGAGAGGGCACTTATCACACAGTATTTGAAACTCATTTTCTCATTTTTTTAATTATTTTCTTACCCCCCCCCCTTTCTATTTTGGTAATATACCTGCCAAAAATCATCATTTTTATACAGTGCTTTATAAAACTTCAACGCAAAACCTTCCCCTAGCCTGCTCTACTCTACTGCTGCCCTCTATTTGAATTAGCAAAGTAACCCAAATAAAACATATTGAAACATATTGAAAATTGATTTCATACATTTTTTTATTTGTAGTTATATTGCATCACATTATCTTTAAACCCATTAATAGGTTTGTCATTCTAAACTTTCAAATCTTTCACTTCCAACAAGGTTTAGCATGCTTTTCAGCCCATGATATTTAACTGGATAGAACAAAATGTCATTGACAGACACAGAGCTGGAGGGACACAAAGAAACAATACAATGAAATTACTTAATTTTAGAGATAAAAAAATCATATCTACAAAGATACTTATCATTATTACCAACAAAGTAGTGTTTGAAAATTAGACTCAAATTCATGTGGCATTGAATTCACTGCCTTCATTATAGAATCAAATGACCTCAAAGCATTTTGAATATACCATATACCAAGTCCCCCTGAAATTATACATGCCCTTGATGACATCTCAAGTGTTATTAGAACACTACTGAAATGCCTACAGTTTAATCCCGGAGGCACCCATTCATTTTTGAAGATCTCACATTAAAAAACACACACTTTACAGAAAGAAATTTATCCGTAAGATTTCCTGCATTCCTCCTGATTCTTGAGCTAGGTTGGGGAAGATAAGGTAGCGCGGAGATGTGTGCGTGTATGTGGGGAATCGAAATGCAGAAGACTGAAGATGAGACATGTACAAGACTTAATTTTCCTCTCACATGATAGTGTTTCCAGTACTGAAAGCATATTTAATATTCCCTCTTGGACATCAGGCCTGCTTTCCAGTCCTTCTATAAACATGCTTCCAGTTGTCTTTGTGACTTCTAAGGCATGGCATTCAGGGATGAAGCAAATCCCACGAACATGATCAGGTCTGGGCATTTACACCCCTCACTGTAGACAAGTCACAGTCAGCATTTGCAGTACTTTAAATCTATGCTGGCAGAAGTTCCGTTTGCTTTTTGTTTGTTTGCTTGCTTGCTTATTGGTTACAGAGAGATGCTCAAAAGCACTCTGATTTTGAACTCCACCTGATTCTGATCCACGGCACAGACACTATGTCTCTTTTTACCCTCAGGTTGCAATTTTAATAGCCACAACGTGCTTTTAACTCATGTCAAGCTTACGTTTATACTTTCACATGGACTACTTCTAAGAAAGATCTCCAATTTCTGAATGAGCATGTGATGTTAAAAATGTAGGTAGGACCTTACATTTATCCTGTTAACTTTGAGCTTTCTAGGTTGTTCTAGTTAGATGTTTGTGGTTTCTGGTTATGTTTTCCAGTATTTTCCCAGCTCTGCAATTTCGTGGGCATATTTCTTATATGATTATTTAAATGTGAATATGTTGACAGGGTAGAGTCCAGAAAAGAGTTTTGCAGAAGTCTAAAAGAAAATTCCCCTCAGAGTGACATAATCTTTGGAGATGGTTGTTGAACAGATGCATAATGTGTCTGGTGAGTAACACAGAGACCTTGCCCAATGCTGTGCTCAGTTTTAAGAGTGCTTTAGCCTGCCTCTGACACATTGCTGTCATGATAATGATTTACCATCAGACACTGAGGCTGGCGATTCCTATCCTAATTTTATAGAGTAAAGGTGGCGTGTAGTTAAATACCATATGAAAGTTTTCATGTGATACGTACTCAAAAACCTACTTCAAAGCACACTTTAAAACAGATTAGGAAAATTATGGCTTTTATGGGATTAAATGTCCTACACATTTCGAATCTCAGTGTTTCAACACACCTATTACTAAATTACAAAACAAGTATAATTTCTTTAAAAGCATCGTTCTAATATACATTTCACTTCTGTTGTAACTGTGGTAATATTTATCTGGCAGCAATTTTTGAAAAATGTAATTCTTACCCAAAAAGCTGGGAAGCTTAGTAGGCCGGGGAGTCAAGGAGTCATTATTCACATGATCGAGCTGGGTTCTGTAATCCTCCACCTGGAAACCATTCACTGGGAAATGTATGGCCAAAAAAAAAAATATATATAGGATACATTGTCACAAGCTCATAATTATATACAAAAGCAATGCACAGCAGTTTTGTTAAGAAAAATGGACTTCTAGAAATTTTATTCACATTACTATGTTATATTAGTGACCAGTGAATCTTTGAATATATATATATATATATATATAAATATATTTTCCCCCCCATGAGTAACTTTGTGGTTCTTAGTGAGAAAAAGTATAACAGATAATGTTTATGTCATTCCTTTAATAAATTTTATGGTCAAGTAAAATTGATTGATTTTAGGCGGTAGGTTCCAAAGAACTATTGGCCTTCAAATTGTTATAAACTTAAGGATTTCAGCATTCTTAGTCTTGTGCCTAAATTATACTATAGAATTCTCAGAAAGGACAATTAAATAATGGAACCTAAGAAAATACAGTGTCAGATCTATGGAAATAATTTTCACTCTAGTTAGATTTCTTAAATGTCTGTGCCTTTTTTTTTAATAACAGCGACTAATTTCTATCACGTTTAATAAATATAAATATATCTTCATTTGTATGGTTAAAACAAAATCTGGGTAAACCTGAACATCCTATAAGATACCTTATTTAAAAAAAAAATGCCTATACATGAAGTACAGTGAGATGAGAAATAAACTTACATGTATCCTCACAGGTGTTCTGGCAGTCTTCCAATGATTCAAAGTTGTTTTGATTACCAAGGCACCCACCATACTTGAAATGCTCACACTGCCTTGACTGATTGTTATAAAAATACCTGGTAATATAACCTCGACAGATTCCAGCATCTTCTTCCAAAAAGCAGAAATCTGGCTTTTCTAGAAATTATAAAAGTTTCAGAAAACAATATTCTTTTTGTGTGTGAATAATTTCATTAGTTTTATTTAATATGTAAATAACTAGTTATGTTGAAGTTATTTAAGGAGTAAACATAAAAAGTTAAAGATAATAGGTATAAATATAACTTTATTCACAGCTGTATAGTATTAAAATTACCTATTTTAACATTTAGAATAAGGAAGATGCAGCTATCACACACTGTTGCTATGGAATTTCAAGTTCTAAATTTCTCAGAGTAAATTAGAAGGATGTTATCTATCAACTATTCGTGATTTGTGAGAATAAAATATACGGGTTATTTTGCCCTTGGTTTGAAAGTATAAAATATTATGGCAAAAATTTGGCTTAATTATTTTTATTAAGCTTATGTGCATCAACATTTAGGAGCGATCTACAGAGATGTCAGACTTTTTAGGTGTGGGTGGGTCCTCATTAGGGAAAAAGTGTAATGTGTTGCTTCAATAAGAATGCTTTAAATAAACAGAAAAAATAACTAAAAAATAAAACTAGAGAAGAAGCTTTGAGGGATATGGAAGTTGTTCATGGCTATTCTTAGAAGTTCCTGGATTCTCATGCCAGAATTGCTATCTGTATTAGGTATAACATCTTCCACTACTGTGTTTCTTATTTCCCTTCTTCCAGTCATTGGAATGACTCCAACAGTTCCAAGGCAGAAAGGAAATACATGTTCAGGAATTGCAGAGGCTTTCGAAAAAGTCTAATACCCGTCTTTGTTAGTGTTCCAAACCAGGCTAAGCACACAGCTGTCACAGAAGCTGTGCCACTTGGATCCCCATTACAAGCTTCATCTACGTGCATACTCTGTAAATAAGAGAATTTAACTTATTTTTAAATAATTATGATCTTTAGACATATGGAGCTTGGATGTTTTAGGGCAAAGCTTTGATTTCCCCATTTTTTCCTCTGGAACTGTAGTACCATACTGGCAGAAATGAACCGTAGTATCCTTTTACATCTTATAGCAGTTGGCTCCTCTGTCCAGGAAGCAATGCTCATGAGTGTTTTACTATAAAAAGAGCATGTATTTAATAACGTTAATGGTTTCTGCAACAGTTGCAAATCTGTAGAAAAGCCAATCTCCTATGACAAAGCTGTTATCAAATTATTTTAATATAGGTATTTTAATATAGTGTAAAATGTCGAATTTCTATAACTTCTCAAAGTACCAATTTGAAAGTTATTTTACTATTTATTGCCTATTGTTTCTCAAATGAATGTTACTATTATTCCCATAGTAACAATTTGTAGTTAAGTTAATATATGGGGCAAGAAAAAAATTCTTTAATTTGTATAATCATTTTTTTATATGAAAAAAATACATTCAATTACTATCATTTTGATTTGCTTTGGTCTTAGTATTTACTTCTTATGAAATTTTAAATCATTTTAAATGGTATAAGAATTCTATGTTCAACAAAAAGGAGGAGGCAAAAAATATTGCATATAAACGATAGAAAACAGTAACTAATTATGCTGAAAAGTATAATGAAGAAATTCTACTTCTGGAAGTTGCTATTATTTATATGAAGCCCTGTTCTAGGACATAAATTTGTTTTAGAACAAAGTTGAACATGCACACTTGTAAAATATTTCTGCTTAGGCCTATAGTTTAAAATACTTATTGTTACAAATCAAGAAATTCCTGTCTTATATCCCTCAGATAAATAAAGTAACATTCATATTGAATCTGCATACACAGTCTTTGTTCTAATTTGATGCGCGGTTAAAACTGAATAACATAGAATGCGTACTTTAAGCTATGTACCAATTTCCACAAGTCACATGATTTTCACTATTAACTTTTGCTTGAAGCTGCATATTTGGCAATCGTCTTAAACTAAACATTTTTTCAAAAAAATTCATGCCCCATATTCTTCAGATAAAGTAACAATCATATTGAACCTGTATACAAACACTAAATAATATTGACAAAAGCAATTGTTTATTCTTAAATATCTCCACTACTTTTGCTTATGATTGTTGACAACTCAGACATATATCCATTCAGGATGATATTGGATGAAATTTACTAAAGCCACACAGTGCTGAGATTATCAAGGGATTAGAGATCAGAGACTAGCAACATCTAAGTCACTATTTGAGAGATGTTAAAATAGCATGTGTGTGGCCCTGGATTGCTACTGATCTAATACTATATACTACGCTGCATTAGAGTAACAGTGAATATAGCATTTGAAGCATTCCCTAACCACATATTATGCATGTTATTTCTAATTTTTCATTGTATCTCCTGAAACAGAACACCATTTCCAAGATCATGTAAATTTATGATGAATACTGTATCAGAGAAACCTAAAAAATGAATTTGCAAGTGCCTTACGTAAATTGTACTAATAAGCGCAAAAATGAATGTTCACCTTTTTGCAATGTTGCCTTTTCCTGTACAGTCTTTGGGTAATCTGCAAGGAAAAAATATGTGTATCAATTACCACATTTATAAAATAATGTTATGAATTTCAATTTGACCCACTAGAGTGATGTATTCATCATCATTAAAATTATTCTCATACAAAATGTCAATAAATAAATTTATTTCTATTTTCTCTAAATATTACATTATTTACATTATTACAACTATGAAGCCAGCTTATTTTAGCATAATATCTCAAAAACTCTGTTAAAAGTTTGAACACACTTACAAAAATAAGAATTCATGGTGAACTAAGTTTGTTATTCAAACTATCTATGATTAAATAGTTTATAAAATAACACGAAATATGAAAGTAGCTCAAACAGCTTACTTTGCATATAAAAACAGGTGACTTCTATAGAGGATTGAGAGTATGGGTGGAAAGAACCTGAATTATCTCCTTTCCTGTTTCTCTTCCCCTGACTCATTGTTTCAACCCAATTACAAGTTTCATTATTATTTGCAATACAGAGGAGAAATTAAGCAAAAGGTATCTGTGACATATTTTTGGGTTTAACCTCATAGATTTAATGGAATTACTCCACTCAAGAAAGAGAATGTTACTTACCTTTGGCCCATTATATTTCAAATATGGATTCTCGGTTTTAACTTAAATGATAGATAATGAAATTCAAATTGATATAATATGCAAAGTTTTAATATTTTCATGTGAACATTAGCAAAGCTGAGTGATATTTATCTTTTGTATAATAACTTGTTTTATCACGAAAAGCTTTGGTCAAGGCAACTTAGAATTAGTTGTATGAACAGAGTGACAGAAAGGAAGAGAGAGAGCTGGTGATTAGGGGGGACATGGGGGGTTGGGGAGGTGAGTTGGGGGGGTAGGTAGAGGCAGGGAAAAGAGAGAAGGAGAGAAAGAGAGAGAGAGAGAGAGAGAGAGAGAGAGAGAGAGAGAGAGAGAGAGAGGAAAAGAGAGAGATTGAGAGAGAGAGAGAGATGGAATTTTAAATGTATTTATATTACCAATTGTTATCTTTGAGGATTCTGAAAATAACAACCATGGACACCTTATTTAACTGAATTTTATACCAACTACAGTCTGAAAAAATAGAGGTTTACAGCAAATTATTCAAATTATCATATTTTCCTAGATTTATACAGAACATAACATTTATTAATGTCTCAAAGAATAATGATGACATATTTTACTAATTTCCATTAGTGTAATTCCTTGAACTTCAACTTACTGTATATGAACTTACATATTAAATATTGCATTATGAATATTTAAATGTAATTAATATACTACAAATTAATGCATGATTATCAGATATATTTTAGTAATTATAATTTCCTCCCCATCCTTTCTTCATTTTTTTCTCTTTTGATGGGGAAGGGGAGAGTAAAACCTGAATGCTAACTTTCAATGTTTTTATTGTTGAAATCAGCATAGAAAATAATCTGAGCAGGTGGGAAATTGACTCTATGGGAATAAGATCCTTGTTACTAAATAGGTCTTCACAACTCCCAACAAATAAAGCACAAAATGACGAAGCTAAAAATGAAAAGAATGGATGAAGTTTTTACATGCCCTTTAATTCCCTGTGGAGAAAATTCCTATGTAAAGCTCCAGGAAAAGCCAGAAGTGACAATTAGCCCAACTAATAAAATAGTGATTAATAGAAATGGCATACTTTCTAGATCCTTTAAAGATATTTCAGAAATTGATGCTCCATTAATTTAAATGTAACATTTTTAACCTTGTTGTAGACGCTGATTGGCTAGACAGCCAAGTGGGAATTTGATCTTTTTCATGTAATTCTTTAATGTCCCATACTACATTAAACTATTTTTCATAAAATAATAATAAAAGATCATGTTGCTGGTTAGGCTACAGGAAAAAAGCCACTGAACCAAAAGACAAACATTTTGAAAACCATGTATCTAGAAGCCATTTTACAAAGTGTTATTTTTTAACTTATTAACTTTGTTACTATGCCTTTATTAATTACATAGGTGAATACACCAAACAAAATTACAAATATTTGAAAACAATAAAACAAGTTTACATACAAAAGGGCAGTTGATAGACACACACACACACATACACACACACACACACACACAAACACACGGTCTGACAATTAAGTTTGCAAACTTGCTGCAACAATGCAGCTAACATTTTGCTATCAGAGGGATTATTCATTATGAGTTTGTACCAACTGCACAAACAGCTAACCAAGTTTACTGTTGGGAAGTGCTGAAAAGGCAGCTTGAAAAAGTTAAACAACCTGAACTTTTCACCAAAAATCCATTGCTCTTGCATCACTACAGTGTACCAGCTCACACGGCACTGTCTGTGAGGGAGTTTTTAGCCAGTAAACAAATAACTGTATTGGAACACCCTCTTTACTCACCTGATCTGGCCCCAATGACTTCTTTCTTTACCCAAAGATAAAGGAAATATTGAAAGGAAGACATTTTGGTAACATTCAGGACATCAAGCTTAATACGAGGACAGCTCTGATGGCCATTCCAGAAAAGAGTTCCACAATTGCTTTGAAGGATGGACTAGGTACTGATGTCAGTGCATAGCTTCTCAATGGGAGTACTTCAAAGGTGACCGTAGTGATATTCAGCATTGAGGTATGTAGCACTTTTTCTAGGATGAGTTTGCGAACTTAATTGTCTGACCGTGTATACTTGGACACTGAGGATTATTTTGTCTTTTTGATTAATTGGCCGGCATTCTTATAAAATATTTTTCCTTTCTCTTGTTACTATATCTTGTCCTATAGTCTACTTTTACTAATCATTCTTATGATTAATGATGCACAATATACCTTTTTTCATCCTTTTACATTTAACATCTTTTTGTCTTTATTTTTAAAATGTCTTTCCTGTAGACAACATGTAGTTCTTGATTTGTTTTTTATAACAATGATTTTTAATTGGAGTGATTACACCATTAAATTGTAATGTAATTATTATGGTTCAGTATGTATCTCTAGCTATTTGTTTTCTAGTTTTTATCTGCTTGTAGTTCCTGTTTCCCTCTTTTTGTCTCATTTAGGATTAAGTATCTTAATAAGAATTATATCTTCATTATTGGTCTATTTGCTATATCTTCTTGTTCTTTTTTTTTTTTTCCCTAGCAGGTGTTCTTTAACTGATGACAACCTAGCTTTGAGTAATTTATACCACTTTCACCCACCATATCCAGAACTTGGCACAGTAATCTCATATTTGCCCCCTTTTTCTCATGTGTTTTTTTTTGTTTTTTGGGGTTTTTTTAAGAGATTTTATTGGAGATCAGTATGTTTTTTCAGGACCCATCAGCTCCAAGTCAAGTAGTTGTCTTCAATCTAGTTGTGGAGGGTGCAGCTCCATGGCCCATGTGGGAATTGAACCAGTAACCTTGATGTTATGAGCCTGCACTCTAACCATCTGAGCTAACGGGCTGCACCATCATGTGCTTTAGTGTTAAGTACTTTAATATTACTTACAGTACAGGTCTACTAGCAATAAATTTTCTCAGATATTGTTGATCTGAAGAAGTGTTTATCTCCATTTTAAGGGTATTTTTACTAGATCTAGATTTTTAATTGACAGTGTATTTCTTTCTTCAGCTCTTTAAATAAGATATTCCATTTTCTTTTCTTGTGAATTATTTCTTGATGAGAAGTGTGTGATTCTTTTGATCTTTGTTCCCTTATACCAAATGTATCTTTTTTCTAGATCTTTAAGATCTAGATCTTTACTTTTTATCCCTGATTTTCAGCAATTTGATTATTATCTTCATTGTAGTTTTCCTATTTTTTTGTGTGTTTACTCTTTTTTGAATTTGCCAAGGCTCTTGGTTTTAAAAGTTACAGTTTTCATCAAATATGGATGAGTTTATATATATATATATATATTATTTATATATATATATATATATATATATATATATATATACTATATATATATTATATACACAATATATTATATATATAGGCAGTTTTGTATTTCAGGGAAGACACAAGTTGATGAGAATAAGTAGGCTGCTAAGTGGAAAAGTAAGGATACAAAGAAAGACAAGACCAGGCCTCTAGCCAAAGTACTGAACCTGAGTGATATTCAACTCAGCACAAATGGATACTTGGCGCAGTAATGGAAAGAGAATGACTTATAGAAATCTGTGATGAATTGAAAATGACCAGGCAATCACAAAAACGAAAGGCACCACAGAAGACCAATGAAATGCCTAATCTGTGTTAGTAACATTTGTAGCACATCTATGGAGAGGAAATAGGGAAATAAGTGCTCTGAGGTCAAAGGAATATAGTCACATCAATTCTTTTCTGTGAAATCTGGTACGTACAACAAAGAATCTCAGCGTCACACAGGAGAGAAGTCCTCTCTTTTCACAACATTGAACATTTCCCATAGGTCTAGAGCATCACGATGCCAAGGCTGTTTTGTAAAAGCTGCTTCAGAAATCATTATCAGAGTGAGAATGGAGGCTGCCTGCTTTGCAGTAAAAGGAGACACCTAGTGTGACTAACTAAAAATTCCATCTCTATAGTACTATAGTTCATTTCAACTAGCTCTAAAAACATGCTATGGGGAAATTTGGGGCTAGAAACGTGGGAAATAAAGGCAACTCAGATTCTTCCATCCCTCAAGGAGTTCATAATTTAGAAGAATAAAACTGAAATAAAAATCTTCAAAATTTTGACCAGTAATTATTTGAAACTTATTTCAGTGAGAAGAGATAAAACAACCTACACTATAGCAATATGTAAAATTTTCATAAAACGTTGTTTTTAATAGGATTAAAGCAGAATAAAGTGCTCAATAAAGTTTAATAACAATATAAGATGATGTACTTTTAAACTTTATAACTTAGTAACAATATGAAAAGGATAGTTTGGTTCAGTGAAGTTTGAACGGATCAGCATAAATGAATACACTGTAAATATGTAATATATATTTCTGCTGCTCTCTGATGCAGCTCAGAATTTTCTAATCAGTAGCTAGTGAGAGCCTCAAAGTGGATTCTCAGATTCACTATCTTGACAGTCACTCTATCTTCATAACTATGTGATCACTGTATTGATAAAGTCTGAAGCCAATGTGACTAACAGTATCTTTCCTGTCAATGCACAGCTGCTGAATTACACTCACTACATTGCAGATTTAAAACTTGCTTTAAAATTTTTTCTTCCATCTTTACTATGGAGAAGAGCATAGGACAATAAATGGGGCTTATTATATTTCATGACTGATATGGAAAAAGTAAAATAACAATAGTTGAACAGGAATGCTGAAAATGTGAAAAAATGTGAAAGAAATATTCCTTGGAATGTTAAAATGATTTGCACTTATTTTTTTCCTAAAATGATCTAATCTATTAGATCTAATGGCCCTAAGGGTACCTGGGAGATAAGTATCCTCAGAAACCTACCTCTTATACATTTTTCTTTGCACTCTTCCAGACTTTCAAATCGATTCTGATTTCCTTCACATCCCCCATATATAAATTCTTCACACTGTTGAGTGTGAACATTGAAAAAAAATCTCTTCAGCATTGCTTTGCATGGGCCATCATCTGCTTTAAATGCACAAAATGAATGTACAAGTTTCAGTGGTGGCAGTTCAGCATCTACAAAGTAAAAATAAAAGTTATAACATATCATTCTTTATCAACATTGTACTAATGTTTTTTATTTCATTTTTTTTTTAAAGATTTTTATTGGGGAACTGGGGGAAGGGGAACAGCCAAGTTACTGTCCTTTTGTTCTTCAGTCTAGTTGTGGAGGACGTTGCTTCACTGGCCCAAGCTGGCACCATCATTGTGCTCTTCCCGGGTGAGGCAGATCAGTCGCCGGCTTCTGGACGGTTGCTCACTGCGGCTGCTGGCTGCTCACGCTGGCTGCTGGCTACACACGGTAGCCCATGGCAACCCACTGCAGCAGGGGCTGCAGCCTACGCCGTCGCAGGCAACTCATGACAGCCAGCTCCAGGTTGAGCTGTTGTTCAGCATCTTAGCTGTAGAGAGCAGTGTCACTGGCCCTCATATGTGGGATCCGAACCGGGGCCTCTGGCATCCCAAGCCAGCTCTTAACCTCCACGCCACTCGGCCAGCCCCTCTTTATTTCATTTTTAATACATCCTCACTTTAAGAGAAAGTACAATAAACCAGGCTGATATAAGAAACCATAAGCAGTTATTCAAAGCTATCAAAAAAGTAGATAAAGTTTATAAATTCACCAAATGAAACAGGTCTTATCAACTACTAAAACAATAAATAAATTAAAAAATAAAAATAATAATAATTGATTTTCAATCAACTGTCAAAGGGAAATGTAGAATAATTTTTCTAAACTCTTGTTAATAGATTTGCCTAAACCTGTACCAGTTGACTGTTATGGAATTGAGTAGTAGTTGTAAAGTAACCAATGTGTTGACCTTATAAATAAATAGAGACCTCTTTTTCTAATTCAGCAAAATTTTTTTTTTTTTAAGATTTTATTGGGGACTTGGGGAAGGGGAACAGCGCTGGGGAATTGGGGGAAGGGGAACAGACAAGTTGCTGTTATTTTGTTCTTCAGTCTAGCTGTGGAGGATGTTGCTTTGCTGGCCCAACCTGGCACCATCATTGTGTCCTTCCCGGGCGAGGCAGATCAGTCGCTGGCCTCTGGATGGCCGCTCACAGCGGCTGCTGGCTGCTCACGCTGGCTACTGGCTACACATGGTAGCTTATGGCAGCCCACTGCAACAGGGGACTGCAGCCTACACCGTCACTGGCAACCTACAGCAGCCCAGCTCCAGGTCAAGCTGTTGTTCAGCATCTTAGCTGTAGAGGGCAGTGTCACTGGCCCTCATATGTGGAATCCGAACCGGGGCCCTCTGGCATCCCAAGCCAGTTCTTAACCAATGCGCAACTCAGCCGACCCTCTAATTCAGCAATTTTTAAGAGCAGATGTTAATAGACAGTTCTTTGAGTTCTTCTACCTAATGCACAATTGTGTCACTTTTACACATAAAACAACTCTTTAAAAGCAACAGTGTATTCATATCCATTTACTATATCATGCTATATTAATGCATTCCCTAATTATGAAAGTTTAGGAGCTTGATCAATCTATCAATCTTATGGTATTTTCCTGAATATTCAGTTACTTATTTTAGTCACAGAAGAATTTCCTAACATGTACATACAGAAAATTCAACTAAAATTTTTAAGTTTGTATTTTATCAAGTCTAATAAGATGAACAGAGGCCTAATTTTATTTTATTTTTTTTAAAATTTTATCTTTTTAAAAAAATTTTATTGGTGAGTTGGGGGAAGGGAGCAGACAAGTTGCTGTCCTTTTGTTCTTCAGTCTAATTGTGGAGGGTGTCGCTTCACTGGCCCATGTTGGTATTATCATTGCACTCTTCCCAGGTGAGGCAGTCACTTGCTGGCCATTGGAGAGCCGCTCATGGCGGCTCTTGGTAGCTCACGAAAGTGCACGCCAGCAGCTGGACAGCCCCACTGAAGCCTACGCCATCGCCGGAGACTCATGGCAGCCCAGCTCCAGATAGAGCTGTTGCTCACCATCTTAGCTGTAGAGGGCGCAGCATCACTGGCCTTCATGTGGGATCCAAACCCGGGCCCTCTGATGTCCCAAGCCAACTCTTAACCAACGTACCAGTTGGCTGGCCCAACAGAGGCCTAATTTTAAATAAATTACATTTGTTTACAGAATCTACCAGTAAGGTAGACCCTGAAAATTGTGATTGGTACAATGGAAATAATAATGACCAAAGAATACCATATATTACTGCTTGAGTATTTTCTATGACTTGATGACTTTCAGTATTCACTATGATCCCTTATGGGGGATATTGAAACCTTAAGATGACTTATCCCATTTTGCCCTTTAGAGGGCAGCAGTCTTCTATTCCATTAAAACTGATAAGTGTAAATATCTTCAAAGAAGTATTTTAATGCACTATAAAATAATTTACTTTGAAAAAAGAAACATGAATGGATGTCACTTTAATATTTTTACATAAAATATTTTTAAAACATGAAATAAAAGATAAGTTTATGAGGATATGATCATCTAGAAGGAAAATCAACTTTAAATTTCCTATAGCTTGAAAACTTCTGTGTACTTTTTGAAAGAGAAAAAATCTATATCATAAAAGTTGAATTAGAAAATTTTATCAAGTGCCTTTTAACCTTCATATTTTGTTATCCTAATGATTTATTGAATTAATGTCAAGTATTAGCCATATTTCAGTAATGTTAAAACTCTTTATGACAAAATAGTTGAAATGTTATTTTTAATTTTCTTTATGAGTCATAAAGTGATAAGTAGGCCTTCAATCTTGGAATAATTAAAAATATGGTCACCTATACATAAATTGGTATTATTATGCTGACATATTATTATATGTCACCATTTAGGCATCTTTCATAACTGAATTGACTAATTTTTTAATTGAAATAAATTGAGCCAACAGAAATTATATAACAGCCAACTTTCCAACTTAAAATGTGATAAGGCAGAATAACATATAACAGATGTATGTAATACATATGTCTTTACCTACAAAACACAGCATCAGGACTGAGTTGCAATATATAGTCAGGAAAATTATTATAAATCAAACTTTTATATCATATTTTTTTTCATTGATGATCCCTGTACTTTTTACTCTTAATATCCTTGATAGCCCTTACCATCATGCCAAATCTCTTATTTTACATTTTCTGTGTTAAGGGTATACTCACCCCAAATTCACCCTGCTATTTAGTAGTTTTGCCACCAGGTGGTAGCAGAGCACCACACAAAAAAATGAGAGTACCCTATAGCTGTGGTTATACTAGTAATAACAGCTAATGTTTAGTGAGTAATTACTTCAGAAATTTTGTAATATTATTATTTAATTATCACAACCTTCTGAGTTAGGATTTATTATCTCCATTTTACAAATTATAAAATAGCACTTCACAAATTAATGGCTCAATTCACACCATAAGTAACGAATTTAGAATTGACCCCCATGTAGTTTTATAGCATGTGTCTCACACATTCTTAATAACTGAGTGATATTGTCACTGATCTGTGTGCATGAGATTCCTAAATTGAAACTTAGGCGAACCACAAAGACTTAAGTATATAATTTCCAAACAATAGTTTTATCTAAAATTTACTTGATAAGAACCAAAAAAGTTTCCGATGAGAGTGCGTGATGATTTTACACCAATTTTCTAAGGAAAACATTAAGAATTAACTATATTTCATTAATTGTTATCTAATTATTCATCTTTACCATTCCCGTGTTAGTGTATTTCTCCCACGATTCCTGAATTTTGTGCAGTGAGCTTGGGGCCCACACGTGAACACAGCACCACTGAGGTGGGGGAGTGACCAGGGGTGCCCTCGTGGACACAGTGCCATGCAATTCCACCCAAAAGGGATGAAATCTGTGTTGTTTTCATTTCTTACTCTGGATAAACTTTTTGGAAGTCAACAATTGTGTGTTGAGCATGTGTCAGGCACGGTGCAGTCATGGCAGACATGATAGTATATTGGGTGGCAGCGGTGCCCCCCTCTTACATAAATATTCAAGAAGTTCAGGGTGCTGTGCCCGTGTATAATAAAATACTTAATCTTGTCTGAGGGGGCCAGGGATAACTTTCCTGAGACTTGAAACTGAGATTTGACAAGGATTGTTCTAAAGCCATGAAACGTGAAAACACATACAGGACAATGAAACAGGGATTGAATGTGATACAGCCAGGTAAAGAGGAGTATAGTCTATATTTAACAATTTTTGTAATCAATTTCTTGTGTTTTATATCTCACAGCCTCCCCTCCCCCTGTGCTGAGATGTTGGATGTTGAATGGAAGGCTCAGGATATTTGGGGACATGTCATGTCCTTGCCTACTAGAATCCTTTCTCCTGGAACTCGTTAGGGAACCTAGAACTTCCAGGCAACTTACTACCTAAGAGTCTCCATGTTGCTTCACTATCTGACCAAAAAGTTGGATTTCTCTGGAAGGGAAGGACACAGACATGTAGTCTTTGCCTTCTCTGAGTCAGAAAATGCGTCAGATGCTTTTTGCCGTTGATCCAAAGACCACGTGAACATAGTTGCCTCCATCACTTATTTATAGATGAGGACCCTGGCAGAGTGTTTACGTAACACATCTAATTTCGCAAGGGACTGTGTGGCAAACCACATGTGAGAGCTTAGGTCTGGCCGATTCTACATCATAGAAAAGATACTTCCCTTTCTCTAAATGCTCCCTGCTAATCTCTCTCCCAGTCCAAAGGAACATTTTTAGAAACCTTATCACCACTATTTTTATTATTATCATTTTGCCTTTTCAAGAAGTGTATTCTGTTTCATCCTCCCTGCAGGTTGGACTGATTCTTATAAAGTCTACTATTGACTTGTAAGAGGAACAATAAAATCTTTTATATTTTTCTATAAAATGACAGTATATTATTTCAATGAAATGGTATAATTCTATAAAACGATGGCATGGCTTGGCTGAATGTGATAAATGGTATCTCCAAAATTGAACTTATATGGGATCCTGCTGTTGTAAGGTTAGTAATTAAAAACAAAGCAAAGCCAAAACTGTGTAAGACTGCTCAGCTTAGTCAGCTAAGTGGTCTTCAAGTCTAGCTTTAAAATCAATTTTTTTTTTTTCTTATTCAGCTGGGTTTGGTCTGGATTTATCCAGAGACCTTAAACTCTAGCTTAATTAGTGGTAGGTTAATTCTGGTTTCTTGGCTGACTGTGGCAGCAGCAACCATTTCAGGAACCTCCTGGTTAGCTGGCATGCATTTTCTCAGCCTAAGTAAAGGAAGTGGGACTTAATTTGTTCTCCACATCCCTTCTCTAGCCAACCTCCAGAATATTAGATCTTTAGCTCTTTTGATCAATGAACCAAACGAAGGATTGGCGCTCATCTCATAATGCCCAAATATCTTTATAAGGCACATTATGGTTTTTACTTTATTAAATAATGTTTTCTTTTCAAAATGTTTTATAACCATATATTTTTTGATGATGTATAACAACAAGCCTTTATTTTTCATTATAGGAAGGATATAAGCAACCCTTGACCCTAGCTGGGTTTGCTTCCTGTCCACTCATTGGCTTGGGCCTCATCCAGGCGGGGTCGGCATGGGTGGCTGGGTTTCCAGCTGTGGTTACAGCTGGTGCAGATCTTCAGATTTGCTCCGAGTGCCTCATTTTTATCTGCAGGCTAAAGCGATGTAGCATGTACCACTTCCCCATGCCCAGATCTCAGATTGCCAGGCTTAGATGAGGCCCCTTCCTCTTTGCATCGACAGCAGCATCTTAGGCATGCTTCTGTCACTTCATTTACTACGATCTATGGACATAAGTACCTTCTACTGAAATACCCTTCAGTCTCCCATGTGAAACTGAGATTCTTGAAAACCTAGTCAGTCCATCACTGCCTCCTTAGCACCTACCAGGGTTTCAGATACATAAGATGTATTTATTCAGTCGTTATCAAAGGGAAGTACACTGATCAAAATCACTTTAAAGAGCTGTTAGAGATATGAAATAAAAATGTATTTATGGAAATCTTTGGTACCTCATAAACATACATGCAAATAGAAGCTACTGCTGTGGGCATATTCTCTCACTATTACCAATAACTTGAGGTTTCAATAATTTACTAATTTTCCACAAAATATCACTTTTAAGAAAGAAAGACATCTGTAATAATAATCACTGTACAGCCTTCTCCTTGTTCTATTGTTAATATTTTATTTTTGGACACAGAGCTTTATGGGATTAGAACTGACTTCTATTACCCAGATCTCTTGGTGTCCCACTTGACTAGATTCTCACACTGGACTTGTCTGGGAAGTCCTTATTTTGGTAACAAGGGCAAAAAAGGGAGAATGGCTGAAACCTCAGATGTCTGTGGTTTCCTTTTCCTTCTCACACTGTTCCCAGCCAAAGGGTGGCATCAAGGCTCATAGAGACTTGTTTCTATAGCTATTGCTCCTCGCAATTTTCCGGAGTTCTTCAGTGTTTAATATTTATAGGCCAAAAAGAAAAAAGAGACAGAAGTCTTCCTTGCTAATGTGACTCCTTTTGGACTAAGATTTTGGGGGTTTTGTTTGTTTATTTGTTTTTATATATCACATTACATATAAGACATTTCCTAAGAAAATTGTCACCTTCATAAAAACTAATTTTCCTACACAATGGTGAAAACTACATTAAATTTTTGGATTAAAATCGAGAGCTTTGACTAGCTTAAAAAGGTGAATGCTTCTAACATTTTACCTGTAATGTTTAAATGTTCTTCACCTTCCTCAGGGACAGCATTAAGATGGACAGAAGCACAGGTAAGCAGCAGACATACAGAAGCCCCCAAAATCTGTTCTTTCTTCATTGTATGAATCATCTCTAAAATACAAACCCAGACATAGTTAATAAATAGAATGTTAATGTGGAATTTTCTATAGACTAGCAGGCATTCATATGCATGCCTCCAAATGTAAATTTTTATGACCTTTAATGGGCATTCTTATTCCACAACTTCTGCCCACAAGTTCCATGACACACATATTCAGTGAATATATGTAATCATATTCAAATCCACAGGTCATAGTCCAACCTTGAAAATACAAATTAAAATGGCAGTAATTGAGAGACGTGTAATTGTTGATCAACATGGCTAAGCATGTATTAACATCCATTTCGTATGCAGTTCTATTTGCCACATCTTTCTCATAGCTATTCTTTTTACTCAGTACTAGTTATATTTTAATTTTTCTTGTGTTTTTCTATTATTTCATTAATGCAACTTTCAATTCCTGATTTGTCTTTCCTTTTGCTTTGGACTTCCTTTTAAAAAGGAAGCACATTTTCAAATTTTCATCTTTGTTTCCTTTTAAATATATTTCCGTTTTTATAACCAAATTCCTAACCAGGTTTTCTATGAAATAGCAAACAGAACTGCTGAAAAGAAGAAATGTCTAACATTCTAGCCAGTCCTTTACCCCAGTTCTTCCACCCTCAACTTGGAGAGTTATCTGATTCAAGAGAGTTTCACCGAAAAGTGACTTTCAGTGATAATCCAACACATTTACAGTTTAAGGGAAACAGATTTCAGCAGGAGAGTGATGTTTCCTGTTTCAAAATGATTTAAAGATTCATAGCAAAAATAATGGAAAAGCACATTTAAACTTTTTTTAAAAGGCCATTTTTCCTTTGGACTCAAAGGTGGAAGGAAATGTATAATGTTCACATAGCATCATGGGAAAAGAAAGGAACATATGCACGTTGGCATTCAGCCACTGGTGCCATCGCAGTCAGGAAGGAAAGAGAAAACTTATCAGTAAACATTCACAAATGGAGAGCCAGGTATTGCACCACAAACAAGGCAGAGAATTCTCTGTTTATGTATGTAGTGAATGCATCTGCGATATACACCAGCAAGTGTGCCCTTTAATAAATAATAAAGTTATAAATGCCATTTTGCTTTAAGCATCATTAAAATCATTAATGAAATGTATAACCTATTTTCTCACAACACTTTGAAAATATTAATACATATTTGATATTTAGCAGCAGCGTTTTATATCTACTAAACCGTATCATAAACTGCTTGAATCCACAAATCAATGTATGTGTGTGTATAAACATGAGGTTGGACAATTAAGTTCATGAACTTTCCATCGTGTACTTACACAGTGTGTGTGTAATTTTTGGGGAGTATATTTTATAGGTCTTTATCTTATTTTTGAAAAGTATTTTTCAGTGGCTCTTCTGTCTCCATTTGATTCTTTGAGATCTACAACCCTGTTATACTTTGAGTGTAAAATACAGCATGTTTTTCTATCCCATACCTTAGAGAGCTGGCTGAGGTTGGGTGCCTGCTGAGAACGTAATGAGAATTTGGGCTCTAAATCCATCAAGCTACTTTCTTTAAAAATGGTGACATAGAATGTTGTCCAATTTTAGTAGGCTTAGACTTTCCTTGATTGCAAGGATGAGAAGCCAGCTCAGAGAGTTTAGGAGAAAAGGTCGTCAGCTAATTCATTTTAGAGAAAGTGGAACAATCTTTAACTAGAAAGGCGGGTTTGAACCTGGATCTCAGAAATGTCTAGTCAGGGAGCTAAACACCACACTCTCATTGCTGTCGCACCCCTGAGACAAAAATAACTGGGATGACACTCAGTACTTGGTGGATTTTGTTGTTATTTTGGTTTTACATCACATCACAATGATGTGTTTGGAAATATGGGGACTTTGAAAGCAACTGTCTAGGTGTAACCAGTAGGTTATATCTCAGCATCCATCAGTGTAGAAGTATAATTTAAATATTTTCCTTATTGTTTGACTTAACATTTTCCGCTTTAAAACTTAAGTACCATATTTTTTCTACAGAATCGTAATTTTTAATATTTTATTTTCTTTCCATTTGGTTGATGTTTTATTGCCCAGATAACTATAGCATCACTTGCAAGGGTTCTTGCAAAAGTTTTCATTGTGCATTCCTTCTTCTAAATTTTGTAACTGTTCAATGATCCAACTCATAATTTATTTAAACTTTTCTAATATAGAAGTCTGCTTAATGAAGTTCAGGGATAGCACAAGAACGGTGATAAATCAGTGGCTGCGTATGTTTATAATACTAGGATTCTTAATTAGTTAAACCCACGGTAGGTGAAATCTTGCACTTGGTTTCTTTGAAACATATCCCTCAAAAAAACATTTGTTATGTGTAATTTATCAAGATACGTTGTGACAGTTCAATCAAGAATGCTCTAAGCATTTACTTATATTTATCTATAGTAGAGAACTAGTTTGTTTTTTTTAAAAAATTAACAGATGGAAATTGAATTAGTATCTTCTTTGAAAATCTAAGTAAACATAGATTTTCTATAATCTTTTTTAAAAATCAAGCATAACTACTGCATCATAACAAATAACTGATTGTACTGGTTCTTGGGTTGGGCACCTCTTTTTGATGTGTTTCTTTTAGAGTTTCTTATTAAGTCCCCTTTGACTTATAATTTGACATCAGAAGTTATTTAAGCAAGAATATAGCATAAGAGTGTATTAAGTTAATGAATAGATGTGCACAATATTATGTTAGACATTAAGAGAGATTTAAAAATCTACACAAAGTCTGACCCTTAAAGAATTTACATTCAATGTATTGAGTTAAAGAAAATGCAATTTTAAGTGCTAAGATAAATTGTCAGGATATCTTTGCCTATACCAGGCACATAGTAGTGAACAATAAATATGTGTTAAATTATTTTACTTGAATAAAAATACTATATACTGGAAAATCTAAATTCAGTACTGCCATCAACCTGTTAAGTAACTTTTGGAAATAAATTTATGTTTTTGGACCTGATTTATGAAATGCATAACTTGGGCTAGATTGTCCTTAAATTTCTCTCTAGTTCTAAAAATTTATGTATTTGAACTATCATATTTTATAGCCTTTGCAGAATAATTTATAGTTCTGCTGTGTAACTTACATTTTCTGTTCACTTTAATGCTAATTTGCAGATCAATTTTATCATTTTAAGTCAAGGTGTGTTCTTAAAATACTAGTTCCGCAAGACATTATTAGGTGTTACATTAAAAAAAAGTATCATCAGTTAATACAATCATGTGCTGCGTAATGATGTTTCAGTAAATGGTGGACCACATATACTGCAGTGCTCCCATAAGATTATAATGGAGTTGACAAACTCCTGTTGCCTATCATGATGTCACAGCTATTGTAACATCATAGCACAATGCATTACTCAAGTGTTTGTAATGATGCTGGTGAAAACAAACTTACTGTGCTGCCAATCATACAAAAGTATAGCACATACAATTACAGTAGTCAGCAATATCATCTAGTGTAAGTACACTGTGTGATATCGCACAAAGTTTAAATTGCCTAAGAGTGCATTTCTCAGAAAATATTCCTATCATTAAGTGGTGCATGACTGTATTTATTTATATGTGAGATTTAAAATTTGTATAGGGGTGTGGCCAAGTGGCGTGTTGGTTAAGAGCTGGCTTGGGACGCCAGAGGGTCCCGGTTCGGATCCCACATATGAGGGCCAGTGACACTGCCCTCTACAGCTAAGATGCTGAACAACAGCTCAACCTGGAGCTGGGCTGCTGGGAGTTGCCTGTGCCGGGTAGGCTGCAACCCCTGCTGCAGCGGGTTGCCATGGGCTACCATGTGTAGCCAGCAGCTGCAGTGAGCGGCCGCCCAGAAGCCGGCGACTGATCTGCTTCGCCCTGGAAGAGTGCAATGATGGTGCCAACTTGGGCCAGTGAAGCAATGTCCTCCACAACTAGACTGAAGAACAAAAGGACAGCAACTTGTCTGTTCCCCTTCCCCCAATTCCCCATTAAAAAATCTTTAAAAAAAATAAATAAAATAAAGTTTGTATAGGTTTCTCAACTATAATAGGACTTTAAAAAAATCCTTATTATGGTAATGTGCAGTTGTATCATCTATGGAAGATGACAGTAAGTGCATGTCCAAACTTATATGTCAAGGGACTATTATCCCATAATGTAGTTTTGGAACATACCTTGAGCAATAATGTTATATATAGATAAGGAAAAGTTAGTAGATTTTCTGAACCAGAAAAATATAAAACAGCATGGTGTGATTTGTGCTTTAATAAAATCCAGGCTATATGGAAAGGTGTTGAGAGAAGAAAAATTATAAATGGAAATAAGAGCTAGAATGTTTTGGAGGATCAGATTGCAATTATGATTAGGGGCCATCAGTAGAACTGAAAGGGCAACTATGAGAGACTTTTCGAGTTAAGTGTTGATAAAATTGAGTAATTGAGTAGATACAGGATATGAAGGACTAAAGATTTAAGTATATCCTGAGTGAATTATTGTGCTAGTTCTACAACTAGGTAAGTTAATATAATTATTAATTTTTGTGCATATTAGTGATAAATTCAGTTCTAAACAAAATGCATTCAATAGTATAAGTTTTCTAAGTGGAACTGAGAAATGGCAATTAAACACATAATGCAGGAGCTCGAGATGTTTTGGTGTATCCTCCTCCTCCTCCTGAGGCAGGATCATTTCACCAGGGAAAGGATGCCCATTAAGTTATTCCCAGCTCCTTTTCAACTTTACCTCCTGTCAGTCTTTCCCAAAATCACTTGGCTTTATGGACGCTGCCCACTAATCCCTGGCTCCGTTGAAACTGCTGATTCTTTAACAAACCATACTTATTCCAGATTTAGTACTTTCAAATTACTATTTCCTATTGTGGGAACACTTCTCCATAAGATTTTGGAATGGCAGACTCTGTTCTTTTAGTCAGGACCCTTGTAAGATATCCTCTCTTCTAAAAGATCTTCTCTGAGCACCATATTAAAAAAAAAAAAATCACCACTAGTTCCTCTGTCATT